CGAAATACATGAATGTAAGTGGCTGGTGAACTGGGAGAAGAATAGGGTCAGATGTTACTTTCGAGTCAAGTGGCGTTATCTCTACACATTTTGAGCTATCCTCGTGTATGTCTACGCCATTAATGTCCGAGTGATTCCGCGTGTCTGTACACGCTGTCAAATGTCCAAGCGAAATGAAGCAAAATGTAGATCTACATCTGGGGAGCGATCTTTTTTTTTTTTTTTGAGGGGTTGAGGTAAGTCATATATTTATACAGTAATAACGTTAAGTCAACGACGTTCATAAACACGCTGAAAAGCGATTATGCGTGTTTATAGCACGCCAAAAATGGAAATACGAATTGGCGTGTCATACACACGCTACTTCATGAGATCAGTCTGCAATAGTTGTGATATTTGACAGCACTGAGTGTGTCAGTCTCTGGCTCAGAGCCAGCCAACGCGCGAAAGCAAGTTTGAATTTAGCAGTTGATGACGCGATGACCGGTGTGATCGTACGCTCCAGGGACCAGCCAAGACTGATCACACCGGTGTGATCGTACGCGTGAAAGGGTTAAATGTCCGAGTGATTCCGCGTGTATGTACACGCCGTTAAAGGGTTAGTTCGCCCAAAAATGAAAATTCTGTCAGTATTTACTCACCCTCATGTTGTTTCAACCCCGTAAGACCTTCGTTCATCTTCGGAACACAAATTAAGATATTTAAGATATTAAGATCGCTCCTGCATACTAGTCCATAGGCTTCTTGAGGGAATGACTTGCTGGCCTCAAAGTCATTAAAGACATCGTTAAAATAGTCCAAGTGACTACAGTGGCTCAATCTTAACTTTATCAAGCGACGAGAACACTTTTTGTGCGCAAAAATAAACAAAAATAACGACTTTATTTCAACTATTTACTTCCTTTTCTCTGCGCCTCTAGTCAGTTAACGTAGTGTGATAGAGTAGAGCTACGTCACACGTAGGCTCACTATTGGCCGACGCTGGTCATGTGTGTGACGCGTGTGATGTACAATAACAGAAGCTTATACCATGGTCTGGGTGAATACTCGATTCTGATTGGCTGCAGGGTGTCCGTTAAAAAGTGATAGAGGACACCTAGTAAAGTAGTTCTGGTGAAACTGCCTGTTTACCATTCGAAATGAATAAATAAATGCGCTGCCCACAACAGCTGTGAGTAACCATAGCAACAGGCAGTCAAAAGTATCCGTTAACAAACGTCGCAAAGAAAATTACACCGCTGCTGCTCTGAATGAGACCCTGCGGGAGTTTTACGCAGCAGTCCAGACAACCAAGGCGGGAGGAGAGTACAGCGTTTCAAGCCTAAGAAGCCTGTTTGATTAATTGTTTTATGTGTAATTAAAAAAATAAATAACCCTGCCTACCTTTGTGTTTCATGAAAAAAAAAATGCATTTTTGAACTTGAAGGGTTCTACAAGCTGAGTGGACTATAAATATCTCCGGCTGCTAAATAAACCAGGCGAGTTATTATTTGTTAAAACTCAATTTAGCCTAATTAAAATATAAACTAGCAGCTAATGTTTTAAAAATGTTTTATTTGGCAAGTGACCATGGTATAAGCGGGTTAATGCCCTTCAAGGTGTCCATTGTCAGGTTTTAATGGACTTCGGTGGAGGCAACCGTCCTCAGCTGCGCGTCGGCCGGTTCACGCCTCACCGTCGTCCATTAAAACCTGACAATGGACACCTCGTCGGGCATTAACCCTTACTTACGCTATTAAACTAGTAACCTGACTCAAAGCAGAGAGAGAAGGAAGTGAATAGTTGAAATAAAGTCGTTATTTTTATTGTTTTTTTTGCGCACAAAAAGTGTTCTCGTCATTTGATAAACTTAAGATTGAGCCACTGTTGTCACTTGGACTATTTTAACAATGTCTTTAATGACTTTTGGAGGCCAGCAAGAGTCATTCCCTGAAGAAGCCTATGGACTAGTATGCAGGAGTCATCTTAATATCTTAAATATCTTAGTTCGTGTTCCGAAGATGAACGAAGGTCTTACGGGGTTGAAACAACATGAGGGTGAGTAAATATGTTAAGTAATATGTTGAGATAAAGCAGTCTGTCTGAGAAGTTTTACAGCACCCCTGACCTTAATTTACGACTGAAAAATTGATTGTTTTCATTTTGGTCAACCATACGGACCACTATTTGTTTGTGGCCTTTTTTCACACAGCCATCTTTTGAAAAAATGGAAATAAAATATGGGTAATCATACAGCATAAAATGTCATTACAGTTTCTGCAACAATTCACACGGTGACAGATTGAGATGTGTGGTGTTTGGTTGCAAGACTGAAAGAAAGGGAAAATAACCCCAGATTTGATTCTTTTCACTCGGCTGAATGCATCTAGCCAGGGCTTTGTAAAGGCGTTTTTTTGTTGTTGTTTTTTTTTAGATGAAATCTTCTCTAAAATAATCTCTTTTATGGTTGTGTTATATTTCATGCCTACTTTTTCATGAATGATACACACAGGATACTGGAATGGATAACTCTTCAGTGAACTCAATAAATGTTTAGACATCATAACTTATATATTGTACACCTCAGACATTATTAGGCCATTCTGGAACTTACATAGGCCTATATAATAGAGCGGCTACAGTTTCAGTGGCCTTGGTTTCAGAAAGTATTTCTCCCAAGTTTTACCCACAGAGATTTCAAAACATCTTTAAGTTTAAACATGAAACACAATATCTAGATCTGAATCTAGATCTCAGCAAAAAGAATTATACAAGATCATTGCAAGACTTTTATGCATGTTGAAAATGAGATTTTACTTCCAAAAGCAAACTGTTGCGTTATACAGACTTCGAAACGCCACATTCTGGCCTGGTTTCACAGGCTTTAATTGAGCCAGGATTAGGCCTTAATTCAATTAGAGCATTTAAGTAGCTGTTATAAACGTGCCCTTGAAAAAAACATTACTGGTGTTTATCTTGAAACAATGGGACCACTCATATATTTTAAGATATATCAGTCCAAGTTCCTTTCAGTTAAAACAGCTCAAACATGCATTTCAGGCTCGGACAAGACTTATGCCTCGTCTGTGAAACTGGGCATTCGAGTTTTATTTGGTCACTGCTGTCATCTCTCTGGGGTTTGTTCACTTTGTCACTGGCCTATTGTTGTACCTCCTCATGGGACCACATGAGCGCTCGAGTTTGATTTGCCATGAATTATCTGCAGACCGTATTCCCTGCACTCATAACTCAACCCTACAAACGCAGATAACATTGAGCTTCTCAAGGGGAGACTTCAAATGTACAAAACATGAAGATTTCTTATCCAGTCCAATGATATATTACGTCTGAATATTTTGTGCTATGTGCAACTACAAACACTTTTGAAACGCAATAGAAGTCTATTCAATTTACAGTCAATAAACTTAAAAGAGAAAAGGTTGTTAAGTGCTTTTAATCATACTGGTCTCATGAGTAAAAGTCTATAAAAATATAAATTAAAAATATGCATGAATAGAAAAAGTAATTTTCAGGTCAGTCAGTTAACGCAAACCCATTTTAACGGCATCCATCATTTTTTTTAATCGTGCGATTAACAGTCTTTTTGCCCTAGTAAACTTATTTTTTTGTAGTTTTTTTTTTTTCATATGATTTTGCAACGGGACGCGGCTGCGCTATGAAACCCATTCATTTCAATGGTTTGCGCCGAACAAGGAGGACGTTTTGTTGCTTCGTTGACCAAAGCGCAAGCGGATCTAGCTAGACCGGAAACAAAACAACAGGCACTCCGCACACACACTGAAAACCCTAATAAGTTGATTTAACTCAATTGATTTGAGTAAACTCGTTCCCTCAATTTAATTGAGTAATGGGGTCACCCAAAACTTGCATATTTAAGTTTACTTAACTTGGTAGTTATGTAGACTTGACTTAAATTGTTTAGTTCACCAAACTTGACGATTATTTAATACACTTAAACTATAAAGTTCACTTAACTTAGTGTTAATATCAATTGTACTTATATATTTAAGTATATTTAAGTAAACTCAACATGAAAATGTTACTGTAATATTATTTCAAAAATTAAAGCTATTATTTTTGACTGTAAGCTGTGTGCACAACTGCACTTACATAAAACAATGAACAACATATTGATCTTTTGAGTCTTTATTGACCAAAATTTCAAAATGGAAATGAGTCAACACTGTACATAACTTTAAATGTGGCAACAGTATCTAACATTAAGTAGTGCAATATCAATTGTACAACTCTGATCACTTACAAAATACACTTAAGTCTCAGATTTTTGTAAATGTACTGAACATTTACACGTAATGTACATTCTTTTAACATTTTACTGGTTTAAGCTTTATGCAATCACAGCAAAATAAGTAAAGCATACTGACCATAGTCACTGTCTTTGACCAATATTTGCACAATATTACAGTACAAACTATACTGTAATTGAACACACTGTAGAGGTATTGTTACCAACAATGGTAACAATATACTAAATTGACTAATGCACATTAATTATAGAGCATTTCACAATTTAAACCACATTTTCCCTCACAAAACAAAACATTGTCAGAAATATTAAAGTCTCAAAGTGGCATTTTTTTTTTAAACAAATATTTTCTGGGTCACAAAACTGAAGAGGTAGTAAAAATGGTACCAATACATGGTATATATATCCTGCAAATCATTTGTAGAACATTCTCAGGGTGGTGTTAAAGTCTCAAAGTGAAGTTTTTTTTTTTTTTTTTTTTTTTTTTTTTACAAAAAGTTGGTTTGCCAGAGACTGCAATTTAGGCTTGAGAGAATATTGTCCCATTGACATTAACACACGCTGGATGAAATCAAACGTGTTGCCAAATGATTTGGGGTAATTCAGTTCAAGTTCGTAGATCAGACCGAAGAGGAGACACATAGCCTGTGGGAGGTCCTGCATTTTATTATTCCAATCGTAGAAGTTAAATACAAGGAATTGGGGGCTGAAAGTCAGTGTCCTCAAATAAGATGCCACTGGCACATTAAGGATGGAGTTGCGATGATCAGACACCTAGTGTAAAAACAGACATAAATAGAGTATTACGATCAGGAATCAAATGTTATAAATTGATGTTTATCAGAACGTGCACTAGATTTATTAAAAACACACATAGCACTAACCTTAATCCCAAATTATATGGACAAGTATGCATTTGACTTTATGAAAATGTACATGTTTCCAGCAAAGATATTACTTTTTTTTAAAGTATGCAGTATAAATTACATTTATTAATTTGAAGAACTGGCTACATTTGTATTTTAAATGAATAGTTCACCCAAACATGATAATGCACTCACTCTCGGGCCATTAAATATATAGAGTTGTTGTTTTGTTTTTTCATCTGAAAAGATTTGGAGAACTGTAGCATCACATCACTTGCTCCAAATTGATCCTCTGTAGCGAATGGGTGTTGTAAGTAAGAGTCCAAAGAGCAAACGTGTGGATTAATTGTGGATTATTGTGATGTTTTTATCAGCTGTTTGAACAAGTTTGAGCATCTGTTTGCTAAAGAGGATCAATTTGTGAGCTGGTGATGTAATGCTGAAGTTCTCCAAATCTTTTCAGATGAAGAAACAAACTCTTCTTCATCTTGAATAATCTGAAGGTGAGAACATTTCCTGCAAATTAATTTTTTTGGGAAACTATTGCTTTAAAATCAACATGATTTTCAAATGCTTGACAAATGCTTAGACTAATGGGAGCACAGGGAGCACAGGTGGTTGTTTTAATGTTAACACGTGAAGAACAGATGCACTTACTAAACATGACTTGAAGAAATGAAGTCACCATCATCTCCAAGCATGATAGGTAGTCCTTGAATCACAAGGGTTAGGACCTCCGTTGGTTGGGCTGAGGAAAACACAAAATTCCATTAATGCCAACAACTAATCAATATATTTGAAGAACTTTTATAAGAATATACGATTAAATGAATGCTCTTAAAAGATATAGTTCCCCCAAAATGAAATTTCTGTCATCATTTAGCCACCCTCAAGTTATTCCAAACCTGTACATTTCTTTGCTCAGTTGAATACAAAGGAAGAATACATTTTGAAGAATGTTTGTAACCAAGCAGTTTTGGGCCAACATTGAGTTATACATGCTAAAAAAAATAAAAATAACAATACTAAGAACACCAATTGTACCCAAAATTGTTCAATTACAAACATTCTTCAAAATATCTTCCTTTGTGTTCAGCGTTAACAAAGAAATGTATACAGGTTTGGAACAACTTGAGGGTGAGTAAAAGTTATCCTTTAAGTTATCTTAAATAAGACAAAACCTTTTTTTTATTATTAACCATTACTAACCTTAATTTGATGCAAAAAGTTAGCCAAGTAACGTTACTGACCTGGAGTCCCCCCTTTGGCTTAAAAAAGGTCCATGAACCGTGGACTATATCTATCAAGGTTCTCGTAGAAATCCTGCTTTAGGTTTTTGCCAGCAATTCTGTTGAACTGGGGAGATAAGAGCAGATCACATAATCACATTAGCGTGCACATTGAAATGCTTTAATTAAATAATTAGGAAACAAATGTAGAGGCTAAGAAATATTTTTAACACGTTAAAGGAATAGACCACTCATGCTCAAACAGTTGTGTGCATGGTTTTCTTTGTTCTGCTGAAAACAAAAAGTAATATTTTTAATGTTTGTAACCAAAAGTTGCTAGTTCGCATTGACTTCTATAGTATTTTCCATATGACTAAATCGCTGTAATTATTGGTGACGTTAATTTTACAATCTACGAAACATCATTCGTCCTAGACTCGTAGCTAGTAACAAATGTTCTTATAACTTAAGATAGATACTTTACAAAATACTACGTTTTACAAGTCAAAATCAGAAATGTATCATGAAAATATTTGCAAGTTACTGGTAAAACTGACCTTTGCCCGGGAAAAATAACCCACATGGTCTGTGCATAGCTGCCATGTTCTTTCTTGCACAGAAAAAAAGATAATCGAATATGTAGCTATCTCACTAGTAAAATAAGAAAATAAGCAGTTGACATTTCAATAATCATACTATCACAAACTAAGTCATGAAGAAAACACTGTTAATTAATGTCGAGGTTGTCAAAAGATTGACCAGAAAAAACGTCACTAAGTTGACTGGTCTCAAATAACGTTAACGTTAACGTTAGTTAACTATGTTCTTTTGCCGAGAAATACACGATTACACAATTAAACTAATAAATTAATGAATCGTTTGATATCGCAGCTATCATATCATCACTTAAAACGTGTTGGAAAAGTTTGACCAGGAACTAATTAACGTTATGGCTGCGTTCTCTTTTATTAACCGTGCAAGGATTTAAATAAACATATTTCTGAGTTAAAAAGTCATACAAAATAACTTTATATCTTAATAATTGTACTTACCGAGAATGTTACTCAAAGAAAAACTCCCGTCCCGTCTTCACATTTGAACTGGTGTCAGCAACTGACGAGACGATGCGAAAATCACCAATTTTGTAATCCACCAATCAGCGCATTAGTTCTCTTGTTGCCATGAAGAACTGTAGCGTGGCAAATCGCATCAGAGGAAGATCAGAGAGAGACGTTTTAAACCTTTGAAATGAATTTGATTTAACGTTCAACATAATGTGTCATCGCTGTATTTCTGTTATTTTGTATATTTTTTTTATTGAGACTTGGTTGGTGGCTGATGTGAGGAACTCTTTCATGCATTTTGGCACGTGGCATATATGTGCACGTGAAATGTATGAAAATTGTGCAACCCCCAGTATTACAAAAGCACTTGAATATGGGTAATAAAGTTTATTTGTCAAGTTTAAAGTATCAGGTTTTTTTTTTAAATAAACATCAGTTTATTTCCATTACAATCAATAATTGTAAAATGAAAGCCATTTGTTTTCTGGTAAAATAAGAATGACACCTTGCACTTGAAGAAAGCATGAATGAATGTATCATCATTTCACAGTTAAGACATTTTTGAAGATTACCTTTTGTAAGGTTTAATCATTATTTTGAGTTTACAGCACTTGAAATCTTAAGTTTTCGTATTTTGAAGGTAAATAAGTTATTTGAACTTATATTTTTGAGTGACAGGGCCAAAATGCAAAATTTTAAGTAATGTTTAGTCAAGTACACTTGATTGTTTAAGTAAAGACAACATTAGGGTTTACAGTGCACTCGTTTGGGCTTGCGAGCCCGCCAAAAGTTGGTTAACGTTAAGTTTTGTGTGATTGACGAGTGTAAGACACCGAAATGGACGCCAATAAGATTCTGAATGGAAACTTTACTTTAATTAAAAGTTGCCAAATGGTTCCATTGACAAGACCAAAGTGATCTGTGTTTTGTCGTTTTGAACTCAGCTATATCATCATCGCAGCACGTCCAGTCTGAAATACCACTTGATTGCCAAGCACACACACACACACAGAGAGATGATGCAAATTCTCCGCCCCATCGTCACCCTTTTATTGATGGACAGTGTTACATTGTGTGTGAGATTATTTGCTCCAAGTGAGAATGTTAGTGCACTGTAAAAAATATTGATGGTTTAACTTAAAGTAAGTAACCTGGTTGCCTTAAATTTTTAAGTTCATTGAACTGGAAAAAGTGAGTTAATACAATGAAGGAGATTAATATAACCATCAGAAACTCAAAATTATATGTTATCTGAACTAAATAAATTATTTAAATTTATTTGACAAAAGAAAAAATGTTGTGATTACTACACTGTAAAAAAATATTGTTGGTTTAACTTAAAATAAGTAACCTGGGTTGCCTTAAAATTTTAAGTTGATTGAACTGGAAAAAGTGAGTTAATACAATGAAGTAGATTAATTTAACCATCAGAAACTCCAAATAATAAGTTATATCAACTAAATAAATTATTATAAAGTTGATTTGACAAGAGAAAATATGTTGTGATAACAAATATTGAAAATATTTTTTACAGTGTGTGAAATTGAACACAGTATATGGTAATGTTGTTTTCAATAAAAAAAAAAATACATTTGCACAAAGCAAGCCGATCCACTTTTCCATGTTGATAAGAGCATTAAATAATGTAAGAAAAAGAAATCAAGAGACATTTAGAATAGATAAAAATATGTGATTAATCACGAGTTAACTATGACATTAATGCGATTAATCGCGATTAAATATTTTAATCGTTTGACAGCACTAATAATTATATATATATATTGAAATTAATTTTTATAGTGCTTTTCACAATACATATTATATACACCCAGTTAAAATAAAATAATACCTGAATATCTTGTATTGTGTGAATTACAGTTCACAGAAAAATAATCTGACTCCAGCAATTTACATATCAGCATTTTCCGAGGAAATTTAGTGTGCGTCTCTTAATAATGCTCGACACTTACAATGTTAATACGACCAAATTATGATAAATATCGGAATATTCTTGTGCATAAAAACCAGTGTTGGGTGTAACTAATTACTAAGCAATTAGTTACTGTAATTTAATTACTTTTCCCTTGAAAATGTAAAGTAAGGGATTACTCTTCATTTATCTGTAATTTAATTACAGTTACTTCTGATGTAATTGAGGTAAATACTGTGTATAGATCAATCCGATCTCACAGTGATTCGTATGCATTTTATGAGGTGTCTAAATTGTAGGATCGCACTCAAATTCGTATGAATTATTGTAAAATATGTATGAAAAAGGTGTGAAATGTCATGAGATCATACATAGAACAATAGTGGTTTTAACATCAAAATGTATTGTCTGATGTTAAAAAGTATGTTTTTATAATGTAACCTTCTCCACCTTGGTCTGTTTAAGGATAATTCAAGCAATTTTATAGTATTTATTTGAAAGAATTAAAACAGATTCACGTCTATCCTTGTATTATTCCACTGGTTGAGATCGATATGGGATTTTGAAAGTAATTAGTAATTAAAGGGTTAGTTCACCCAAAAATGAAAATTAAGTCATTAATTACTCACCCCCATGCTGTACCAACCCCGTAAGACCTTCGTTCATCTTCGGGACACAAATAAAGATATTTTTGATTGAATCTGAGAGCTGGATCAGTCCTACATAGACTGCCTAAGGGACTGGCTCTTGACGGCCCATAAAGTCATTAAAGAAAAGGTTTAAATATTCCATGTGCCTACAGCGGCTCAATTATAAGTTTATCAAGCGACGAGACTACTTTTTGTGCGAAAAAAACATAAATAACGACTTTATTCCACTATTCCATTACTTCCTTATGGGCGCATGCGCAAAAACTGAGACGAGGACGTTCTCATTCGACTACTTCTTGTTACCGGCTGCTCACCGCTTAGGAGTTTTACCGCCACCTACCGTATAAAATGATGATCCATATATAAGGCGCTCCGGATTATAAGGAACGCTGTCGTTTTTTGAGAAGATAAAAGGCTTTTAAGTGCACCTTATAGTGCGGAAAATACGCTAATTGAAAAGCGTATGTACAGCGCGCATCTTCCTCTGCTTGTAAACAGAAAGTTTTGCGCTTCCAGCTATATCAGCACGTCATCTTATACGGTAGGGGGTGGTAAAACTCCTAAGCGGTGAGCAGCCGGTAACAAGAAGTAGACGAATGAGAACGTCCTCGTCTCAGTTCTCGCGCATGCGCCCATAAGGAAGTAATGGAATAGTGGAATAAAGTCGTTATTTATGTTTTTTTCGCACAAAAAGTAGTCTCGTCGCTTGATAAACTTATAATTGAGCCGCTGTAGGCACATGGAATATTTAAACCTTTTCTTTAATGACTTTATGGGCCGTCAAGAGCCAGTCCCTTAGGCAGTCTATGTAGGACTGATCCAGCTCTCAGATTCAATCAAAAATATCTTTATTTGTGTCCCGAAGATGAACGAAGGTCTTACGGGGTTGGTACAGCATGGGGGTGAGTAATTAATGACTTAATTTTCATTTTTGGGTGAACTAACCCTTTAAAAGTAATTAAATACTTTTTAGAGAGAGTAATTAGTACAGTAATTACACTGTTGGAAAGGTAATTAGTTACTTTTTTAGTGTAACTTACTCAACACTGATAAAAACGCAGTCAATGTCACCCAGTTGACTTTCTCATAAACTCTCTTTATCATATAAGAATCCATGGTGATTTTAATGCACAGATGGTTGCTGCTGCACTTTCTTTGAAGCAGTTTGAACAGGAAGAAAAAGGGCACGAAAAGGATAAAAGGGCCACCAAACAGCCGTGCCCTAAAGAGGTCCCCTCTCTAGTGTGCACTCATAAGCTGTCTGAAGGGGAACAAAGTTACCAGGACACCATCCAGCAGTGGACAATGTGCAGTTTAGTGTGGGAAGCTTAACTTGATATCACAGAAACCTCTAGACTCCCACATGTTGTCTTAAAGACAGATGCTTCACGGAGCTCGTGGGTTGACATAAATGGATGGTTCTGCTGCAGGTAAGTTGCTCGAGCTACAGCTGAGATTGAGTTTTGTGGCACGAAGCTGTCTGTCAGCTCTCCACAGTTCGATCTACAGCAAAACCGAGTGATAAAAGTGTTTTATTTAAACATGTTTACACTCAAAGTCCACTGCAAAGAACAAGTGTACTTGTTTGTCTATCATCTCTCTGTGATGATATCATAAGTACTGTATGTTCCTTCGACCCCTGTGGTTGACCGCGTGCTCCTTTGGGACAGTGACGGCGTAACTACATCAAACCAGTGGCCCTGCGTGGGCTCTCGGTGTCATCCGACACTCCATTATTGATGTGAGTAATATTCCATCCATCCCAGGGCATATCTATCAGGACCTTCCCCCTCCGATGTTATGAAGCCATTTAATAAAATATAAATGTCCCCCATATTACTGAAACTGTCCTCTGGCTTTTGTCTTCATTTCAGATCTCGCGCGTGAACTGGAACACTAAAACATCGGACGCCTAGATTTTGAGGAATTGAATTGCAAATTCAAATATCCAAGATGACTTTTATTGAAGCATTGTGCAAACTATACATAAACTGACTATATCTACAAACTAGCCAAACAAATGTTTTGTTGTTCTGCCAGCCATAATCTGAACTGTCTTCAGTCACATTAAACTCACGCTGGGCTGGAGAGACAGGCCACAGATCTGTCAAACTCATTATGTGTTTATTTTCTCCTCCGGCACTGATTTAATGACTTCTAGATGGTAGAAAGGAACACAACTGAAATTGTAGATTAATTTGCAAATATGCTAAAAGTCCATGCATATAAATTTAGAAGCGCTACTGTTGGTCTTTTAATAGAACTGTTTTTAATGCTGTTTTTCTACCACCCACAGCGAAGCACAAGACATTTCATACAGTAGTTATATCCAGTGATACTGTATCCATCCAATTTCTGCAAACGCTGCCTATTCGTTTTCACTTGAATGAGATGTAATTTGCAGTAGCATCCTGATGCAGATTACCACTGGAGGTCATAATTTCTCGGGATGCAGAGATATATGGGAATTTATGGCTGATACACAGACGTTTGAATCCTTTTATCTGTGTTTCCCACAAAGACTCAGTCGAA